TTCCTTACTAATAAAATGGAAGTGCTTTTGAAATAGGATATTTTCTGTCCTGAAGAGGACTAAATAGAATTCTGTCCTTGGCAAAGATAATCTGTCCATTCATCTGTTCGTTCATTTCTCTCTCTCTCTCTCTCTCTCTCTCTCTCTCTCTCTCTCTCTCTTTCTTTCTTTTCTTGGTTGTACCTGGGTTTAAACTCAGAGGTACTCTACCATAGCCCTGGCCCTTTTTAATTTTTTTTGTTTTGAGACAGGATCTCACTAAGTTGCCCAGGATGGCCTCAAAGCTGTGATCCTCCTGCCTCAGCCTTCTGAGTCACTGGGATTACAGGCATGAGCCACTGCACCCAGCTGGTCCACAATTAAAAAATATATATATTAATATAGACACTTTCGACTTCTGGGATAATATTAATGGTGGTAGCTTTCTGTGTGCATGGATGCAGGCAAATGTCCATGAGCAAAGAGCCATGAGCAATGTCCCAAAAGTGAAGRTCTTCTTCATGTTCTGATTTAAGGCTGTTATATGTGTGGCACTAGCCTCTGCCCTAGGGGAAGGAGAATGAGGGGCTCTGAACTTGAGATGTTAGGTAAGAGGAATAGAAAACCAGTTCACCTGAGGCACATGCAACAGGAAGGGAACATCYTAATATCAGGACATGGGAATCCCACATAACACTGAACGGTATTGCATTCCCTCCTTATGCAGGGCTGTGAGCAATCCTAGGATGGAATCACACGGAGAGGACAGACAGTGTGATGAAGGCCATGTCAGGCACCAACTTAAGAAGCAAGAAATATCATTTTTTTAGTTTCTCAATTCAATTTCTATCTCAAATGCCCAGTTCCCGGGGGTACTGGGAATAAACCTTATTAATCAGGGGCTCAGGCCATGCCACCATGTCTTTGCCARTTGCTGCTCAGGTGCTTGGGTTCTTGCCTTCTTGACACCTTCAGTATTTCTACTCCCTGTCTGCCATGCAGTRGGACCCAGGAGTCCTGCTTTCTTGTGCTTCTGGGGAGTTATTGAATGCACCTGAACTACCTCCATGGTGGTCCCCTCTTAGARGTTTTGCCCAGGTCCCTGTCTAGAATCAACCCTCTTCCCTTCTGTCATTCACACTTGCCTCCTCRCACTCACACCTGTTTTGGGTCAGGGAATCTTTTCTAGTTGGCTCCTGCTATGGTTGTCCCTTTCAAAACTTACATTAAAGCCAGTTGAGGTGGTACACTTCTGTAGTCCCAGTTACTTGGAAGACTGAAGCAGGAGGATCTCTTGAGCCCAGGAGTTGGAGACCAGCCTGGGCAACAAAATGAGATCCTATCTCAAAGAAACAACAACAAAACTTCAGCTGGAATTYAACTGCTATTATAATAGTATTAAGAGGTAGGACTGCTAAGCGGTACTTAAACATTTAAGGCTTCACTCTCATGAATGGATTAATGCATTTACCACAGGAGTGATTTCTTTGTCAGAGGGAGAATTTGGTGCCTTCTCTCTCCTCCCACTTGTTCTCACACCCTCTCATACCCCTAGTATTCTGCCACCCTGATGACAGAGCAAAAAGGCCCTCACTAGATGGCAGCACCTCAGTAATGGACTTAACCTCAGAACTGTGAGCCAATAAATTTCTGGTCACCATAATTATAGTCTGTGGTATCCTATGATAGCAGCACAAACCAAACCAAAACCCTGGCTTAGTAAAAAGCTATGCTCTCTGTCAATATGATTTTGCATTTCCTGAGAGGCAACAAATACACAATGGCCGTGTGTGTGTGTGTGTGTGTGTGTGTGTGTGTGTGTGTAAAATCCAAAAAGCAAAGCATTGGGAAAGGAAAATGTGTGTGTGTGTATGTGTGTGTGTGTGTGTGTGTGTGTGTGTGTGTGTGTGTAAAATCCAAAAAGCAAAGCATTGGGGAAGGAAAAAATGGGTTAATAACTTAATATCGTTTTCCCAGGACATCATCATTGTCCTTAGACTGTGCTGGATTTGGGGAAACAGATTCTAGCATTTTTCTACTCAAAATATATGGTGGAATATATGAAGGCCATGTCAGGCACCAACTTAAGAAGCAAGAAATATCATTTTTTTAGTTTCTCAATTCAATTTCTATTTCAAATGCCCAGTTCCCAGGAGTACTGGGAATAAACCTTATTAAACAGGGGCTCAGGCCCTGCCCCATGTCTTTGCCAATTGCTGCTCAGGTGCTTGGGTTCTGCTTTGGGGAAACAGATTCTAGCATTTTTCTACTCAAGGTATATGGTGGAGTTTTCAAAATCACACTTGCTGATTTTTACTTTCTGTAAAATCCGTTTTCCATTTTCACTCCTTATTTTCAGTATAACTTTTAATGAGGAGGAAGCGGGAGCCACTTACATCAGTTTGATTAAAAGTCTATTTGTCTAGTTCCTGAGAGGGCACTAAAAACAAGTTCTTTCCCCACGGAATTGGACAGTTGGGAGCCTCAAGCACACAGAACAGGCTCTGAGACCCTATGAGAGAGATGGGGGGAGGTGCTGAGCCAGTGAGCAGCCAACCACTCTCCTCTCCCCAAAGCCACTGAGCTCATGCTGACCTTGGAGAAAGGATGAAGGTCCTTCCTGGTCTGCCTAGCAGAAAAGCAGCCCAGGTCAAAGGATTTCAGTAGGAGCAATAGCAGTGGCAGGGGAGGAACACTGCATCTTCTGCTCTGTGACCATTCTGGGGAGAAAGACCCTGCTACCTCTCTTTTTATGGGGCCAGTTGGATGTCATTCTTCCCCTTATCAGAAGTGACCAAATGTTCAGGGATTGCCCACAGAGACACAGGCCAATCACCAATCCTTTAAAAATGTAGAATTAGTTAAAAAAATATATATATGTATATATATACTTTTTATTTCATACTTAACTTTGACACCTAAAGTCAACTTCTTGTATTATAATCAAGGAGTGATTAATCATTAGGGCCCACATCTTTAACTTTTTTCAGGGCACATACTGACCAAAGCAAGTTCTCATTATTAAGGGTATTTCCTTATTTGGGGCCATGGGAGGGGCTCAGGCCCTCTAAAGTTTCACATTCCAGGGCCTCACCCCTCCCTCCCCCAAGACATTGTGTGACAATTCAATGAAATGCAATAGGGGAAAGCCAAAATCTGATCAGCTTTCTTAAATATGAGTCAGTGAAGAAGAGTTTTGTCTAGAAGAGAAAGAAACTCAAACATATGTTTCTGGTAGCACAGGGATTCTGAGAAAACTTCTTTTGAGCCAATTTTTTTTGCCCTGAGTTAAAAATCCCAGATCCTGGGACACTGGMAGTATTCTTATGGTAGTGAGAAACTCAGTCCTCAGTGAGAGAGCCATCACTCCATTGTCTTAGACTAATGCCAGTTTAAAGGTCTTAGTAGAAATGGAATGGTAGAAATGTCACCTTTCTGGCACCAGGCAGCTCAGTGACTTTGCACTTCACTGCAGGCTGTCGCAGGGGAATTTAAAAGCAATACGAGTCTCTGCAAATGCCAATGACTTTAAAACACACTGTAGCATAAACTGGGATCTGGCAGATTCTAAGAATTGCCTTTCCATAACCATCACATTTTTATGATAAGTCCTAGAAACATCAGTTTCCCATTTTTACTTCTTGCCTCAAGATGACCCTGGTTCTGATAAGGTCAGAAAATGAAAGTGATAAAAAGCAAGGAGCAATAAACCTGCCCCACCCAGCAATGATAACAATGAGGGAGGGTCTAGCTGAGGAGAAAGTAGAGTACCCAAGTGACCTGCCTCAGGGYTGGTGCTGTGCTCTGATTTAGCTAAGTGCAGCTATTTACCCACTAGCTTCACTGATCAAACTGGAGGGAAGGTCAAGGTCATGCCTGGCAGTGGGAAGTTTCTAGGAGTCTTCAGAAACTAAAATATTTTTTAATCATAGAAGCCATACTTTTTCTTCATTGAAACTTATAATAATTATATCTTTCCAAACATATTTTCTTTTTATTGTTTTTATAAAAATGGGATCATTCTATTTTATAACTTGCTTCTTTTACTTAATATAGTATGGATTTTTTATTGCTCTTAACAATATATATATCATTTTTAAAATATTTATTCTTTTTAGTTACACATGACAGTAGAGTATATTTTGAACACACTTATACAAACATGGAATACATTTTATTCTAATTAGGATCCCAGTCTTGTGGTTGTATATGATGTAGAGATTCACTGTGGTGTATTCATAGGAAAGTTATGTCAGAATCATTCCACTGTCTTGTACCTATATCATTTTTGGTGGACTGAGTAGTTACTTGGTCCAGTAGTTTAGATCTGTTGTACTTCATTTGAAATCTTTATCGGTATTTAKATCATTTCCAACTTTTTACTTTTTTTTCCCCTTCAGTTTCTGCAGAATCCAGGCTAGGTAAGTGCTTTCCTACTGAGCTACATCTTCAGCCTCCTGATTTTTTTCTTCTATGAAGGACTCTGTAATGGCCATCCTTGTAAAATACCTTTCTGTATCTATGCCCTTTTTTTTTTTTTTTTTTTTTTTTGGTACTAAGGGTTGAACCTAGGGGTACTCAACCACTGAGCCACATCCCCAGCCCTATTTTGTAGTTTATTTAGAGACAGGGTCTCACTGAGTTGCTCGTGCCTCACATTTGCTGAAGCTAGCTTTGAACTCACAATTCTTCTGTCTCAACTTCCCAAGCCGCTGGCATTACAAGCGTACAACACTGCGCCCGGCTGCATTTTTGAAGTTTTGAACAATAAGCATGCATTGCTTTTAGGATAATTTTTAATCAAAGACGTTATGAGTGAATAAGAGCAGATTTCAGAAATGTAAGCATGCTACACATGCTACACACGTATACATAGTAGTAGAGTACCCCAGGGCTCAATCTCCAGTGCCATAAAAAAGAAAAAAGAAAAGAAGGCAAAGAAAGATGACAACATCACTTAAATAGCACACTCTGCACATGTATACATATGTTATCTCTGAACAACCCACTTTTATTACTAGGCCCAACCTTTGAGAATTCTATGCACCCTCCTTACCAGGAGATGGCTGGCCAGCCTGAAGGAGGTGATCACTGGACAGGAGCCTGTGTTCCAGAACCCTCTGCACCTCAGTTCTGAATTTCAGTTGGAAGGTATCCTGCAAATTTCACGGTAACTATTGATGTCCTACGTGTGTTATGATGAGGTTTGTTTTGACAGGTCCTGATATTAACAGGGATTCAAATACTCTTCCTTATTCTTTTTTGTGTTTTGAAGTTTTTTGTTTGTTTTTGTTTTTGTTTTTTTTTGGTACCAGGGATTGAACTCAGGGGTCCTCAACCACTGAGCCACATCCCCAGCCCTATTTTGTAGTTTATTTAGAGACAGGGTCTCACTAAGTTGCGGTGGAAAAGACTCAGAGGGAGCTCATAGAAATGAGAGTCCTTCATATTGGGTGAGTCTTTCTTTCATTAGTGTTGGGACTATGTTGTTTGTTGAACTTTTCCCAGGTACCTTTTTTGACTTTTAAACTGCACCAAACAGATATGGTTCTGTTCCAGGGCTTCACAGAATAGTTCCTCACACAGCCCAGAGGGTATGAGAGAACACTCTCAATAGAGATGATGACAAAATGATAGCACAGAATGGCAGATTGCTTGATGCTTTCAAAATATTTTGCCCATAGATTATCTCACCTCTCTYTCTCAACCACTCTAAAAGGCTAATTCGAGTCAGGGATGGTTGAACTTGTGATTTCATAGAACTGGAAGTATAAGAAATCAAATTTGAAAAACTATTCAAACCCAAAATACTTGATTTGAGTTGATAACATTATTAAAATGTTTTCCACAAATGTGCCTGGTGGATGAGGGGTCTAGGAATGAGATAACCATCTAGATGTGTGAATAGAGGGTGGAGATGGGAGGGCAAGGTGAATATGTTCCTGCTGTGCTTCCTATTCCTTTTCTAGCTGCAGGAGCTTTAGTTTTATAAGCTCACTCAGCCTCATTGGCCTCCTCTGTAAAATGGGCCTAGTAATAAAATTGGGTTGTTTGAAGAGATAACATATGTATACATGTGCAGAGTGGGCTATTAAAGTGATGGTTGTCATCTTTCTTTGCCTTCTTTCCTTTTTTCTTTTTTATGGCACTGGGATTGAGCCCTGGGGAACTCTACTACTGAACTATATTCCCAGCCCTTTTTCATTTTTCATTCTGAGACAGAGTCTTGCTAAATTGCCCAGGCTAACCTTGAACTTGCTATCCTCTTGTCTCAGCTTTCTAAGTCATTGATATTACAAGGTTGTGCATTACCACACTCAGCCTTATTTTTTTTTTCTTAAAAACCAAGAAAACCACATTTTCTTACTTCAAAATATAGAGCCAACAGCATTGGGGGGTTGAGGAGCCCCACAGCCCACTGACTTAACTTAGAGAGTCTGGCTGGCAAGAGGGCCTGAATCACTCTTGGTAGTTGAGAAGGAAGAAGAAGTATAGAGCAGGGGTCCCAGGGGCTGACTTTGGGCACCTAGAGGACAGGGCATTTTGCCAATAAGTCACTATAGTCAACTGACCACCTCTGACTAGGTTTGGAATGAAGAGAGCTGAAACCCACTGCACTGAGAAGCAATGGAATGGGGTGGTTGATGGCCAAGATTCAACAGCCAGTTAAGTGGGGTTTATGTCTCTGTCCCTTCACATCCCAGTTGTCTGCACTTGGGCAAGTTACTTAGCCTCCTTGTACTTCAGTTTCCTCATCTGCGAAAGAGGGATGATGATGATAATAGTATCTATTTCCAGGGTTGTTCTGAACATTAAATGAGTTTTTAGAGAGGAATCATTAAGAACTGTGGCACCAGGCACAGATTTGCTCTTTTATGGAACGAACCAACTGTTGGGTCAGAAAAGGTGTGTGAGATTGTACATTGTGAGCTTGGGGACCTTGGCGCCTCCCCTGGGTGCTTGGCACCCCTGTGTAGCTACATTCATGAATTCAGGCAAAGGTCTGTCCTGGTTGTCAGACAGCAGTTCCCTAATTGCTATGTCATAGCTGGGGGACCCCACGATCTATCTCTAGCTCCCTGCCTCTCCTGGARAAAAACAAGGAACAGAACCTGCAGTTACCTCAGGTGGTTTGGAGACTGTGAATTAGTTCATGTAAAAGGATGGATACTAGTTTGATGCTAAAAGTCAACGGTCAACTGAAAAAACAACTCTGCCCTGGGGTTTGAAACAGCAGCCTCCTGAGCCAGCCAGGCGAAGCATTCCAGAGATGCAGGCAGCCTGAGAACACACATTCTAGATGGAGGAACATGACAGGAAATGGGGCCTTACCATTCCTGCTGGTCATGTAACTGATAAAGTCTGAGAACTAACAGCAGAGAAAGAAATCTGATTCTTTAAAATAGCAAAATATGCTCTATGAATAAAGTACTGAACTTTTACATATCATTTAATATAAAAGATTATGCCCAAATGTACCAAAATTTAAGAAACCAAATGTGCTTGTCATAGGGACTGGGATGTAGTACAGTGGTAAAGTACTTGCCTGGCACATGAGAGGCCCTGGATTTGATCCCTGGCACAAGAAAAAAAAAAGTTCATTATAAACAATTTAGGCTACAAGAAAATAGAATGAAGAAAATAAAATTTTCTGTGGTTCTTTTTGGTCATCTGATAATGTATACATAATATTACTGAACTTGACACAATTAAGGTTCTAAAGTGTATTCGATTATATATCTTGGCTTTCACATATCATGGCACTCTTTCATGTCATTAAATAATCTTCAGTATATCATGTTTAATAGCCATAATGCATCCTATTGATGGCTGGGCCATAAATATCTGAACTATCATTAGATATTTAGGTCATACAAACAACTACAAAGCTTGGCATTTTACAGCTGTAATGGAACAACCCCAGACCTAATGTGCACACTTCTGATTACATATTAAGGTCAAAAGCCTTTAATGCACTAGTTACTGAGATTCTACATTCTCCTCCATTATCAAGGACTCAAAGCTCCCCTCCCAGGTCCCTGGAATTTAGGAGGAGAAAGATGGGAATAGTTGAACAGATCCAGGCAAATCATTGTCAGGACTCAGTGCTGAAAGTTGAGGCTYTCAGTGAAGATAGGTTGAAATTTCAGCTGCTCACCTGGGGCCTTTCTGTGTGTTGCCACTTTTGGAGATTCTCTTCTCTGGGCTCCTGGCCTGCCAATTAGAAACTTATCTCAACCATCCTTAAGCAAAAGGAGGAGTCATTTAGGAGGATTCTGAAATATATTCTGTAGACAAAAGAAGGGCTTGTAACCAAACCACAATAGGGCAGAGATGTAGGTGGGCCTCAAGGGAAATAGGAAGTAGGGGGCAAGTGATGTCAGAACTTCCCCATCAGGTACACCCAACTAACCAACACAGATGGATGGCAGGTTCTACACAAATATAAACCCCCACATCTCCCTCGAGGAGTGAGGAGGGGTTTTCAGAAGAAGGAGGTACTATTGCCTGGAGAAATGAAATGGTAATGGACTCTTGGTTTTTTCCCTTTGCAGTGCTGGGGATGGAACCAGGGYCTTGCATATGCTGGACAAGTGCATTTCCACTAAGCAACATCCCCGGTCCTTTTATTTTTTTATTCTGAGATTGGGTCTCCTAAATTGCCTAGGCTGGCCTCAAACTTGCCACCCTCTTGCCTCAGCCTCCTGAGGGGGATTATAATTGTGCACCATTGTGCCTAACTTAGCCTCTTTTTTCTAAAGGGTTGAGGTTGCAAAAGGAACCTGGGGCTGCCTCCCACTTGTGATGCTATTTACCCATGCACTGGAAGAGTCTGGGAGTCAGGCACTTAGTCTCAGTTTTGTTTGAGGCCTTAGGGAAAAAATATTTTTCTTTTGGGTTGTCTTTTCTAATTTGTTTCTGCTTATAGTATAGGGTGGTATGTCCTCCTTTTTTTTTTTTTTTTCATTCTTTTTTGGTACTTGGGATTGAACCAAGGGGCACTTTACTACTGAGCTACATCCCCCTCCCCTGTTTTTAGAGACAGAATTTTACTAAGTTGTTCAGACTGGCCTTGAACTTATGATCCTCCTGTCTCAGCCTCCCAAATCACTGGGATTACAGGCATACACCAATGAGCCCAGCTTAAGTTTCTTTTCTTTTTATATTTCCTTCCTGAATATAGGCAAAGCATTTGGATTGTAGGCATTCTGACTTCTGTTGTTGTTTGGATTTTTAGGGCTTGGGATCTRTTTTTTGAAGCATGGCCAAATGTGGATGCACATATCACAAGTGCTGCCTACCGTGACTTCTTTAAGCAAAACATGGTGTGATTGGAAGTGGGCCCATGTGAAGGGCTCACACCACTAACCACAAACTAGTACAGCTGGCACATCTAGCCCTGATGCTGTGTAGCTGCATGACTGAATCAAGGAGTATTAGAGCTAGAAGGACCCTCACACTCATCTATTCCAACCCTCTCCACCAGAATCTACTCACTTTATAGATGAAGAAACTGGGACCAGAGAGAGGAAATCAGTTGTCCATAGTTACACATACAGAATTAAGCAGAGACAAGGATAAGGTGAACTATTTACTGTTAAAAAGTAAGAACCATCAACCTAGAATCATGTACCTAATGAAATTATCCTTCAAAAGTGAAGAAGAGACTTCCATTTTCAGTCCACCTTGTAAAGAGTTTAAAAATCATCACTCTGTCCTAATAAGAAGTAAAAAGCTAAACAAACAGAAAATTCAACTGTTCTTCCTAGATCCATCAGAACAGTGAGGTATAGTGTAAATGCTTCCCCCAAAATTATCAGACAAGCAGATGCAAAGACTCACAACTTAYTGGAACAGAATTCCAGGAGCAAAAATGTCTGCAGGAATCAGTGTTGGCATAGGAAAAGCCTGAACTATAATGACAAACTGCTGGAGGCTCAATGTTGACAGTTTGAGTTAAAAACACCAAGAGGCCACACAATTTGTGAGTTTTACTTAAGAGCTTTAACAAATTCTTATAATGAAAACTGGGGGAGGAGGGCATTCCCTTAAGCTTCTGGAGGTAGAAGGGAAGGAAACTGTTTTAAAATATGCCAGAGTATTCTGTTCCTCATAACAAGGGCTGACCTCAAGAAAAACTATTTTATCAGAGCCTAACTACCTTGGGAG